AGAGGGACATTCGCAACTCACGTCCCGCCCCGCAGAGGGGCATTCGCAACTCACGTCCCGCCCCGCAGAGGGACATTCGCAACTCACGTCCCGCCCCACAGAGGGGCATTCGCAACTCACGTCCCGCCCCACAGAGGGACATTCGCAACTCACGTCCCGCCCCACAGAGGGACATTCGCAACTCACGTCCCGCCCCACAGAGGGACATTCGCAACTCACGTCCCGCCCCACAGAGGGACATTCGCAACTCACGTCCCGCCCCGCAGAGAGACATTCGCAACTCACGTCCCGCCCCACAGAGGGACATTCGCAACTCACGTCCCGCCCCGCAGAGGGACATTCGCAACTCACGTCCCGCCCCGCAGAGGGACATTCGGCCGTTCCTCACTTCATTGAGGAAGGCCAGCGGACACCCAGCCGGCAGCGGGCCAGCTTGCTGAGCAGGCCTTCCGCCGTCCGCGGCCCTCGAGCGGCGGTCGAGATGGGGGCTCCGGGCGAGGAGGGTTTAGCACAGGCCTGCGGCTCGCGTTCACTGGCGAGCAGCGTCCCCCATGTACACATGGTAACCAGGCCTGCGGCTCGCGTTCACTGGCAAGCAGCGTCCCCCGTGTACACATGGTAACCAGGCCTGCGGCTCGCGTTCACTGGCGAGCAGCGTCCCCCGTGGTTCACTGGCGAGCAGCGTCCCCCGTGAACACACGGTAATCGTGCCGGAGCTGCCTGCGGCGCTGAAACAGATAACCGACCCAAACACTTGTGGCGACGGCAGCATTATCACTGAAATGATGGTCTGAACTTCCCGGTGATCCGACCTCGCGTCTCACAAATCGTGAACCAGTCGACCGTGTGTGAAATACTACCAAACGTATGGAAGGCAGCCACGTTTACCACTTCACAAATCAGGCTCTGTGTGGTTTTAGGGCGTGTGAAATACCTTGGTTATTCAAACAAGTATAGGCTATCACGCACTTCAAATTTAATTATAAAGCAATCTATTCTGCCCACTGTGGCTGAGGCGACTGAACGCGTCATTTACAATCAGCGTTGCAATGGCTGTCGTGCTGCGGCTGTATGGGGCGGAGCTTCCGCTGCCATCAGGGACCCACATTTTGACTGGCTGGCGGCTGTATGGAACGGAGCTTCCGCTGCTATCAGGGGCCCAAATCATGACTGGCTGCGCTGTGTGGAGCGGAGCTTCCGCTGCTATCAGGGGCCCACTTAGCGACTGCCGCGGAAGGGAGGCTCGGCCGTTGTTGAAGGGAGGAAACCGACTGGCGTAGGCCAGAGATTTCTGACATGGTGAAAAGGTTCGATATTTCTGTTGTATACTGCGTTGTACCAGCATTGTCACAAAAGCTATCAGTGGCAACCGTGCACGATCAGTTATGATCATGCTGGGAGCCGCGGCATCGTGCTCCGCCTTGAGCTAGAGCTGTACAACGAGGGCCGGTGGAGACCCTGCCATCCAACAAATCCATCAACGTAAAGTTTTACGCTTTGAGTTCAACTAGTGGCCATCCAGTTCAGGTTAAATGCGATGCTTCGGTACACAAAGTTAAGAATTACGATTTGAGGAGAACCATAGCACAGAGCAGGGCAAATTCGAGACAGATAATCACAAACACCTGTTCCGAATCGTGTGCGGTGCGGGCTGATCTTGGCAAAACCAGACTAAAAATGTCATTGATCTTTCTGCAGCGACCTGTGTGCTTATCCATCGTCCTTCTTTGCCAGTCCAGTGCCCAAAAATGGATGTAACTTTGCCAGCTCCGGGCCCAAGGGTGGATGGAACTTTGCCGACTCCGTGCCCAAAGGTGGCAGTTAGTACCGATGGACATCAATCGACTCGCATTTCGTGTGCGAAAAGCTCTGCAGGCTCTTACAGATGGCACTGCTACTAATCACATGACAATGCCTCGGGCCAGCTGTTTCCAAGCCATTTTGGCGCCGCCTTTTACGCCTTTCTGGGTCTCAACGGGGCCGGTTGAGACGGAGATACTCCATCGCTTAGCCCGGCGAGGGCCGACAATCCAGTGACGTACCGCCCACCAGCGGCGCTCGGGTCCCTGGAATACAGGGGATGTCCCTGTCAGCTGCCGTCCACCAGCGGCGCTCGAGCCCCTGGATACAGGGGATGTCCCTGTCAGCTGCCGTTCACCAGCGGCGCTCGGGTCCCTGGAATACAGGGGATGTCCCTGTCAGCTGCCGTCCACCAGCGGCGCTCGAGCCCCTGGATACAGGGGATGTCCCTGTCAGCTGCCGTTCACCAGCGGCGCTCGAGCCCCTGGATACAGGGGATGTCCCTGTCAGCTGCCGTCCACCAGCGGTGCTCCAGTCCCTGGAATACAGGGGATGTGTCTGTCAGCTAACGCTCACCAGCGGCACTCCAGTCCCCGGATTACAGGGGATGTCTCTGTCAGCTACCGTCCGCCAGCGGCACTCCAGTCCCCGGATTACAGGGGATGTCCCTGTCAGCTACCGTCCACCAGCGACACTCCAGTCTCCGGATTACAGGGGATGTCTCTGTCAGCTACCGTCCACCAGCGGCACTCCAGTCGTTGCATTCCAGCGGATGGCTCTGTCAGCGCTCCGTTTCACACGGTACCCACCGACGCGCTGAACATCGTCCCTCGCTTCCCATCCAGTGTTCCACAGATGAGGAAGGATCGACGCCCATATTTAACGAGCGGACACTCGAAGGGAGGAGTCGCCCGACAACTCAATATTCCGGCGGCGAGCTACGACCCCATTCGGTGGGGCCCGGCAGCCGAGCGGCCCAGAGCGGGCCGAGTAGCCCGTCAGCGCGGCAGACCCCTGGCTGATTGCGGGGGCGCTGCTGCTCCACGCTCCGCACGACCGAGCTCAAACTCCTGGCGTACAACTCCTGTTCTGCAGGTCCTTACACATACACGGCAACATCTGAGTCGTAATGCAAACCAGGGATGGAAAGAGCACATCTTGTTAACACAACCTGATAATTAGAGTGAATTCACGTCTTTGCAGTCTGCCACATGCCCAATGGCCGTGATGCTTCATTTCAGAAGGTCGTATGCTCAGCTGCACTGAGTGGGCAGCCCTGAGACCAACGCGTGCATCGCAGTAGTCTGTGCACATGAGTGCTACAGTATGTAAACCTGCACATCCTGCGCAATACGGTAGATGCATATTGCGCAGTCACGATCGCCGCAGGGCACTAAATGCCGTTGGCCACGTGACGGGGTGCCGTCAAACACACACCGCGGGCACCGCAACAGGGGCCGGAAGGCACTGGCTGTTTGTCACGGTGGCTGGGCGCCTGGTTAGAATAGGTGCGCACATGACGACACCTCCCCCCCTGCTGTCACTGGCGCCCCCCGGGCAGGCGGCTGATTCAGATACCGTGTGTTACCTGGCCAGTTTGTGCGCAGCTCGGCGCGTCTCGTCGTGCGCCACTGTGCGCAGCTCGTCACGTCTCGTCGTGCGCCACTGTGCGCAGCTCGTCACGTCTCGTCGTGCGCCACTGTGCGCAGCTCGTCACGTCTCGTCGTGCGCCCACGTGACGAGCTGCGTTCCTGGTCAACAAAAGCCGCACCACGTCTGCTTTCGGCGGTGAAGCTCCGCGTGGTGGCTTCGGACTCGAGACTCCAAACAGTGGCGCCTTTTGTCCCTCCGCCGCCCGGTGCTCCTGGTTTACGGTCCCAGAGGAGTTCGGATGTGCCGCTGTCTGCTCTATGACACGCGTCCTTTCCGACTGACGAATGATCAATATTTACCACAGCTTCCAGCTAGCTACTTGCCATTTGCTCTTGTTGAATAGACAACTCTGCCATCACAAGCTCGGCAGCAAATGCACAGCCCAGGGAACAAACCGAACTGCAGTCATCAACCCCAAATCGCAGCCTGCAATTAGCTGCAGCCGCAGCAGCGACCGGCTGATTTAGTAGCATGCTGAGCGGATGCACTCCCGACCGCCCCCGACACGGCTGCATTCACGGCCGACAGCGACGGAGCCTCCTGCGGGCGCCCGCCAGCCGTCAAGGCGTCGGGCACGGTGACAGGTGGCCTCTCCCCCCCCCCCGTGCCGCTGAGACAGATCTCGGCAAGGCTGATCATGAGATCCCCTGTCGCGGTCACCGGAGGGGGGGGGGGTAGGTCACTGGCCTCGCTGGCTGACTTGTCCGCTAGGCCTCCGGCCGGCGGCTGGCGGCCGCACTAGCAGCCAGAGGCTGTTCGCCGCTGACAACCGCGGGCGGCCAACCGACTCGGCGTAAAAAGTACGGTTAATGTTGTACTTGACCCGGGAAGTCGCTGGGCGGACGGCGTCAGGCGGCGGCCGGTGGTGAGCTGGCGCCGGGAAGTCACACCTCACGGGCGCTACGACCCGCGGGGTGGGCGCTGGCCGGCGGTCCGCCCCGGCCAAACGGGCTTGTGTGTACGGCCGCTGCTATCGAGGGGCAGGGGGTCACGTGACCCATTCGGAGGTTGTGTAACAGGAGTCCGATATGCAGCAGAACTGGCCATTCGGACAGAGGCGTTGTAGAGTTCTGAAATCAAACGGCATGCAAAGAGTGGACAGTTATCTGGATTTTGACCAGGGTAACAGAAGACCGTTATCAAATTTGCAGTTTATTGAGAAAAGATGATAATAAGTTGGAATTTTGATCACGTTTTATAAATTTCGCTTGACCATTGTTTTCTAATATCGGTAACCCAAGCAAACTAAATGCTTCTTAGACCCGTGTACTTTTGGAAGACGTTTAGAAAGATTCCCTGGTTAGATGTGCCCGGCTCACCAAAAACTGTGAACGATTGACTTGGCATAGGATGTTGGCCGGCACAAACCTTGACCACACGCCCGCGCCTGTGTTAAAACCCACGACGGCGGCTGTCGCCATTGCGGACAAAATGTGGTGTAGTCGTTCCGGCACTGCCGCCAGCGCAGCTCGACTGCTCGAGTGGTCCCAGGTGATCGGCGAGCGGCGGACTCGTATGCGTGTTAGTCGTTCCGGCACTGCCGCCAGCGCAGCTCGACCGCCCGAGTGGTCCCAGCTGGCCGGCGAGCGGCGGACTCGTATGCGGGTTAGTCGTTCCGGCACTGCCGCCAGCGCAGCTCGACTGCTCGAGTGGTCCCTGCTGGCCGGCGAGCGGCGGACTCGTATGCGGGTTAGTCGTTCCGGCACTGCCGCCAGCGCAGCTCGACTGCCCGAGTGGTCCCAGCTGGCCGGCGAGCGGCGGACTCGTATGCAGGTTTACCTGCAGGTTTACCATTGGCCCGCGACAGGCCGTGGCGAGCCGCTGGTGCCCTGCGCTCTCCACGCGGCGCGCGGGGCTGGCGGGCGCCGTGTCCGCCCTGTGGCCGATCGAGTGGTGGGGACAGCCCGCCCGGCGGCCACGAACCTTGCAGTCTGCCCGGCTTGGGCCGCCCACCAGAAGTGATTGGAGTTGCAGATGGCGGCGGCGCCTGGCGCCCAGATGTGGGGCGGTCCGTAGTTTGTGGTCACTAATAGTGCCAGGAAGGAAACGGTCATTCAGATAGGTTGAGTTGCACTTAATATGTGTACAGCTGCCGCGGGATGGCGCCAGCTCAGTGGCTGCGGTTTAGCCGATCAGCTGTTATATCCTGGAAATCCAGCGGGAAACATTGCACAAACGTTCGTCGGTCTCGCGTCGAACAAAGGCAGACCAGCTGCAGACCCCCAGAAAGTGCTCATCGCCCCGTCTGTGGAGCCGAGGCCAGAGTGTATCGGCCGCTGGTTACAGTGCAGGCTGTATGGTGAGGTCCCAGACACCTGCTGCCTCTCTCTTGCTGTACGCACGTGAAAAGTGCAAAATAACACAGGTCTGTTGATGATCTGATGGGACTCACAAGTCAAACGGCATAGCTTGCCCTGCCTGTGGTGACATACGAGGCCTTCGTTACCTACATTTACCCGAGGTTGGAGCATCAATAGGGGACGAGACGGCCCAAAGCCCTTACATGTCCGTAAACAAGTGAGGCTTAGCTTAAAAAGGGATAAATAATCATACAAAACACAAAAAGCTTCAGTAAAGATCGAAGCGACAAATAATAGCACGCGGAGCGAAAATCGTTTTGAAAACAATCCACGAAGAAAGGCTTTTCGAGTGGTTTTGTGGCTTTCGCGTGAGCTGAACTGGGCGGTCTACCCGTCATCATCAACTTATGCATAATCTACAAGTACCTCCCCCGCTATGCCAGAAGACTACTTCTGTTCGGCAATAACCCCGACGTCTCCCTCCGCCCGAGATTGGCTCAAGCCCTCCCTGATAGTCAGCCGTTAATCCAGTCGTCTCTCAAATAACCCAAATAAATACATAAATAACAGTGGATGGTAAAACAGGTGCCATAAACCCAGCGACCCGTTCCCTAACAAGCAGAACCGTGCACAGCTGCGTCATCCCGTGGCGTTCGTTTCACGCCGAAACGGGCGTCGTTTTTAATTTGGCATGAAGATGCACAACACGTTTTCGATGCATGACGATATAGCAGTGAAGGAAGATGCAGAGTCACGTTTTGTTCTCGCTTGTGGGCGCAAAATGCACTTACGTCGCATGCAAATTGCCAATTAACAATCCTCAGTCACATCTACTTCAAAAATTAAGATGAAATATGCTTATTTTTCAATGAACTCAAAGCCTAGGGTGACAAGTAAAGCTACATATTCTGTTGATGACGACTTAAGACAGATTTTGTCATCCCGCGTTGTTTGCAAAGTGTTTTGTAATACACTTCGACCCTTCTTTCTCAAGTTGTTTTAACTTGACAGTTTCGCTGCGAAATCATTCTGCTCATACTTCACGGTTGCGTGCTGATGAGGGTTCATTATGCACGGAATGAACCCCAAATGTAGTCTGCCCACTCGCCCACTCAGTTACGACGTGCCAACAGAAGTGTGGCAAGCAAAGTAAGGCATGACTGCTGTACTGCGTGACCAAGATACAGGGAAGGCCGAGGGGGGAGCGGAGAGGGCCATGGTTCCCCAATACTCATTAACATCACCATGACGTGACGCCTGAAAATGACATATTTTAGGGAGTAGTAAAGCTTTCTCGCTGATAGGGACGTTTGCGCGGCCGACCATGTACCGCATGCTGTTCCTTCTCGCAAGGAGGCGACCCGATATGTGGTCGTCTCCAACACAGGAATTACCATGAATTGTGGGAAAATGCGGTGGTAAAATACACAATTGCTGGTGACGCAGGTTACCTCAAGCATGCGGGCTGAACACGCAAGTTGGTTTTTAACCCAGGGATGACCAAGGCAGAGTGGAAACGAATAGGAAAGCATACTGAGACTAAGGAGTAAGCAAGCGGTTTCGTGTAGCTGAACGTTTGCGGTCTACACTCCGACTGGGAAAAATCGCTTTGTGCAGTCACATAATCAAGTCTACTCACTTGTCAACTCAGTGACTACATACCAAACTGAAATGTGTTAAGCAAAGTAAGTCATGGCTTCTCTATCCCTTCACCAATATGTGGAAATGGCGGTTTGTGTGTGGGGGGGGGGGGGGAGAGGCGGGGGCGGGGGAAGTTATAAATCCAAACCTGAACGTTTTCGAAGCAAGCGTTTTGGTGAAACGTGTTCATGATCACGTTTTTGTGAACAGTCAGTTTTCGTCACGAACCGGTGACAAATCTTTTGCACATGATCAGGGTTCAAGGTAGTGAAACCCTATCCAGCACCTTCAAACAGCAGCTGACCGAGCAGTGGCCTCACATGGTGTGGGGCTGAAAGATTGACTGAGCCGCGGCCTCACATGGTGCGGGGCTGAAGGATCCGGAATTATTTCCGCTGCCCAATCCAACAGAAGTGATGAGCAATCAGCTATTGACAGTCTGATTTGCAGACATCCGCTGCAGCGCAGTTTATGCCATTTGGTTTGGAATCTCACGAGCACACATTTGTTAATAATCAGACAGTTGTCACGACCTTAGTGTAACAACTTAAATTGAATTGCTCCATCCCAGCCCCTGTTGGTATTTTACAGCCCGGTTCATGAGCTGGCTAAGAGGCTAGGTCAGCGTAATCAACAATTGCTTACGAGGCAGCTGTAGAACGGCTCGCAAAGCTGTTATCATGAGCCAGGGCACTTTGGGTTTAAAAATGACCCAAACGCTACCCTATCCCGCCCCTCTAAGACCTCTAGCAGCCTTACAACTTGGCAGAACATAGACATTGGAGGAGGATGTCTTGACTGAAAAGTAGGGTCACATTTAGAATATTACTCACGACTCAGTTCCCCTGAAACTTTAAAAGTGAGAGAGCTTTAGACATTTAAGCTTAAGTAGAAGAGCCAGTGCTAAAGACCTTGCATTTTGGCTGCCCTGAAATGTCATAACTAAGAGAGCTAGAAACCGGTCGAACAAAGGTTAAGCAACGTCAAACTTTAAATAATGTCGGAAGTGCCGTCAACTTCCCTCCCCAACTGATTTGGATCAAGATGCATTTTCAAATCAATGTGACACTCATAGTACTTTCTAGTCTTTCTGTTCAATGACCTGATCTGACTTTCAAAATGCCAAAGTGAAGAAAATCTCTCGAAATTATTTCGAAATTCTGACTGACAGCCGCCATGAAAACTGCCGTCGGCATCAAGTTTTGTGCAATAGGTTGATCTCGCCATTTAAGGTCAATGACATCATGTTGCTTATAAAGTTAAGGTGGGACACCGGTTCACGTGCTTATTTTCTGAACAGACATGGTCTTGGTGTGACAGCGACTCATACCACGATACTAAACTTGTTTCCGACGTCTTAAAGCTTGTCTCTGAGAACTGTACAGTTCACTTACACATCTGGAAAGCTGTGCCCAGACCAGGGGCGTCCGACAAGAACCACATTCACAGGCAATCTGGTGTAGTTGATCATGCTGAGCAACATCCACATGGTGTAAAGCGCAAAACATAACGCCGAGTATTGGGACTCTGTACCATGCTACGATAATATGCTGAGAATGCTAATGACTTCCTTTGAAGCCTGCTTTCACAAAGCAAAAAGCAGTTGCTCCAGCATGATGAATAACTTCCGTCACTTATCTTATTCAGCGAAGAAAGGCATTTCCATCATTTGTGTTAACTGATGTCGTGGGTTCGTTGCTTAGACCATGAAGCGGAAATTAGCTGTGCAATACAACGCGGTTCATCAACGCCGCTTTGCAACGAAGACGGGCAATTAATATTCCAGTCAATTCGGCCGCGATAGAGATGTTAACAGAAATTCATGTTGGTGCACTAGGTACAGCTCTACAAATGTGGCTGACCAGAGCTTTGCGATCTTACTTCTGAGTATACATATATATATATATATATATATATATATATATATATATATTACAACAACTTTAAAAGTGCATTGCAGGCCGAAGGGGGCGCTGTGTTTTAGGCCGCAAGAATGACGCGCAAAACGTGCCCCTTCCAACGTCAATTGTATGAATTTATGTTGGTTGATCAACATTTGGCATTGTCAACCGAAAAGTGCCATTGATGAAGTAAGAATTTTTTTGCGATTTTGCAAAGCAGCACGGCTGAGCTAGACTGACTGTTGGCTGCGGTTGAAGACTGCGGGGTGCGGTCTGCAGTGGTCTGTTTTGCCCTGCCGTGAAAACGCGCGGGCGTTATCGGGACGCTGTCATCTTAATGAAGCTCAAAGCATGCCCCGAAAATAAGCCTTTCTCACCACGTCCCCCCAGACTGGCAATATCTACCAAACAATGGGCAGCGTAGTGTCCTGCCGCGCACCATCCTGCCGTACAGTGTCCTGCCGCGCAGTGTCCTGCCGCGCAGCGTCCTGCCGCGCAGTGTCCTGCCGCGCAGTATCCTGCTGCGGCTGCTGCACAGTGGTCTGCCGCACCGTGTCTTACCACGCAGTGTCCTGCTGCGCAGTGTCCTGCCGCGTGGTGTCCTGCCGCACAATGTCCTGCCGCAGTGCCCTGCCGCACAATGTCCTGCCGCACCGTGACCTGCCGCGCAGCGTTCTGCCGCACGGTGGTCTGCCACGCAGTGTCCTGCCGCACAATGTCCTGCCGCAGTGCCCTGCCGCACAATGTCCTGCCGCACCGTGACCTGCCGCGCAGCGTTCTGCCGCACGGTGGCTGCCACGCAGTGTCCTGTCGCGCAGCGTCCTGCTGCGCCCCGCTGCACAGTGCCTTGCCGCGCAGTGTCCTGCCGCACAGTGCTCTGCTGCACAGAGCCTTGTCGCACAGTGTTCTGCTACGAAGTGTCCTTGCCGCACAGTGTCCTGCCACACCGTGACGCTCCGCGCAGTGTTCTGCTACACAGTGTCTTTGCCGCACAGTGTCCTTCCGCGCAGTGTCCTGTTACACAGCGCCCTGCCGAGCGGTGTACTGCTGTATAGTGTCCTGCTGCACAGTGTCCTGTTGCGCGTTGTCCTGCTACATGGTGTCCTGCCGCACAGTGTCCTCACCGCGCAGTGACCTGCCACACAGTGCCCTTACCACGAAGTCTCTTGCTACACAGGGCCCTGTTACGCAGCGTCCTGTCGAACAGGGCCCTGCTGCACAGGGTCCTATGCCCTAATCCATGTTTGCATTTCTGCGATCCTCTCGAAGATGTTTGTTGACGTGCTCATATACTATGCAAGCATTCGTTCGAGTGACTGCTGCTGTCGTGGTTATAAAGCTCATACAGGTTTGCGATGATAACCAGGGTTTAATGCCAGTAGGTGTCTTTACCTTTAGGGTTTATTTATTCAGCAATCCTTGCACTTGACTGACAAAAACGTTTTTGTACTGCATTTCAGCGTTGGTATTTCTGGCATTTGAGCCTTGGCGACATCTGTCCAAATGTCGATTATTTATGGCGGCTGTCGAAAACAATTCGCAGGGGCCAAGGGTGTCAAACATTCCGACTTGTTACGCTCGTATGCACTTCCTTACCATGGTACACCATATTTCTGTGGAAGTTTCTCTAGCTCACGTGCGTTTTCCCTGTTAGCGCAAGCCATTAAAAGTCAGATTGTGCGCCTCTCCATATCTTGGTTTATCTGCAGAATTCCTGATCGGGATGCAACAGCATTCCAATAGCCCAGAAAATAACCATCCGGCGTTTGGCATTTCGTACAAAATGAACGCAAAAAAGGCACACGCATTCCCAACATTTTTGAAAAATTTCGGCTTTGGCTACATCCATGCTAAACTGCCAACAGTTGCGTATATGGCTGATTGAATGGTGGATGGCGTCGACAAATACGGACTCCTGATGCCACCGGTCGTCCTCCACGCGGCGCCAGTCCACGAAATGGATCGCTCGCTGATTGGTCTAGCCGCCGGTCACGTGGTGCACGATGCCGCCGACCCGTCGGACCGGGGACAGACTCCGACAGCCATGCCACGACACCGGGTCATGAGAGACGCCTGCCGGCGGCCGTTGTTGTCAGTGGCGAGTGGTGTCCGGACGTGGGCGGCGCGGTGACGAGCACGGCGTGGGCACGGGGCGCGGCTGGCACCGGCGGTGAGTGGGACCGGGGCGGGTATGACCGGGAGCAGCTCTGCCCGGGGCTTACGGGCGCATTCGCTCGGCGCGGCGGCAGGGGGGGGGGGGGGGGCTGTTTGGTGCCCACCTCCGGTGCTGGCTGGATTTGTGATGATACGATACAGCTGATGGTTATTTCAGTTTGTTGTTTATTGGTCAGGTCATATGAGCTGCTTCTTGCGAGGTGACCGGTCATACAGAATTACTACTAAATACAGCGTTTGATAGCGTACAACAACATGCCATTTATTAGTGTATCGATGTGATGTTGCACAGTACAATTCTGCACTAAATATATAGTAATGCGATATTGACAGGTCCGTTTGCGCTGTGGACATGTGGAATCACGCATGCAGTAATTAGCAGGTAATGCGATATTGACAGGCTGTTTGCGCTGTGGACATGTGGAAGCACGCATGCAGCAATTGGCGCGGAATGCAATATTGACAGGCCTGTTTGCGCTGTGGACATGTGGAAGCACGCATGCAATAATATGCAGGGAATGTTGACGCGCACACGTATTTCGAAGACAGAGGTAGAGAGGCAGGTAGTCTATACACCTTTGCTTGAAACAATGACGTAATAACCGACATAGATTAAATCCCTGCGCACTTGTTGTCTGAGTCCCAACAGGAAAGGGCACCGTAAAACTATCCATAACAGAGAGCCTACAGGTGCAGCCAAGACACCGCTAGAGCGCCAGAGCGATCCGGCTAGGCCAGTGGCACATGTGAAGGTCTGTAGACCCCACGTCACGGATCACCATTGGCGCCAGAGCGATCCGGCTAGGCCAGTGGCACATGTGAAGGTCTGTAGACCCCACGTCACGGATCACCATTGGCGCCAGAGCGGTCCGGCTAGGCCAGTGGCACATGTGAAGGTCTGTAGACCCCACGTCACGGATCACCATCAATGTTGCATTCGACGGCCCCGAGTCATTGATGAGCGCCTGTTGGTGGTCGTTGCTACCTAGGCAGGCCATCACCTCCGAACAGAGCCGGCTGAAACAGCATTTGGGTAGAATAAGGCAGGAGGCCCATGGAGCGCCAAACAATCGGCGGAGGGGCAGAGCCACAGAGCAGGCGGGGGCAGTGGTGGCTGAGGATTGTATGACTGGCAGAGACCAGTGCCTCCACCGCTGGCCCGCTTTTCCACGCGTCCTGCCTGCTCTTCAATGCAGGGGGCCAGCGGCGAACCCAGCACCTAATGGCCTCGCGGAAGCTCTGCATTGGGATATGTTTGCCATGCTGGAATATTGCCGGTCCCAGTGTGGACCGTGATGAGAGGCGGCGCTCACGATGATGCCGCATTTGGAGGGGCCGCCAGAAGTCATTTGGGGTGGGGTGAGGTCAGTGGAGGACGAAGGCTGTGTCAGCAGCTCGATGTTGTCAGCCAGAGTTTCAGTCAAACAGCGGCGCGATGAGGAGGGGCGTTGTCGCGGGAAAAAAGAATTGGACGCGCGTCTTTGCCATGCTGTGCGTGGTAGTCGCCGGAAAAAGACGTTCATTCATTTGCTCCGTCGACAATCATACTGATACGATGAACTGTTCCGCTGGTCATTCCGATGTTCTGAGGCATCTGCCCGATTGTCATACGACGATCTTTCATCATGGCAGCCTCCATTTGTGTGACGTGGACAGATCGGTCTGTACCTCGGGTCTCCCAGAGAGTGGTAAACCCCTCACGTTCGCGCTACTCTTCTCCAGACCACACACCCACCTACCCACCTTTTCACTCGGAAAAATTGTTACTGCCATAAACTAGAAGAGTATCTTTGTGTAACTCCCCATGCTTCTAGTTTTCCGGTGTAATGCAGCTGATGATCGGACGCTACAAGCTTGCGTCGAAAGGAACACAAAATTTCGGGTATGTATGCACGTGAAGCAAGCTCCGAAATGGCATTCTTTCCCTCAAATTAATCACGATTTCGTGCTGAAACCCTGTGTCTTAGGAAAGTGGATTAAAAGGTTACTTGAAAAAGGTTACGTGCCAGGCCACGTTATTTTTTCATAGCAATGAAATGGAACTTATTTTTAGAATGAGCCTTGTAAAGAAATGCAGGACGTATCTGTGTACACAGACATAATACATATCAGGCATTTGGAGGACCAGTCATAAGCTCAAAGGAGGTGGACCAACTTTCGGAGAAAGGTTTTTGTCCGGAAAGATGACGCCGACGCGTCGTACCGGGGACCGAATTCAGCGATGAATGTGCATTTTTTTCGACCAGCATGGTAGGAAAAGACAAAACCTACTTCCGGGAAAATTATGAGTAAATGTTCCCAGACTATGCAGTGGCTGCGTCCATGGCTGTGTGCTGCTGGCCGGTAGTGCGCACAACCTAAGTATGTTTATTTAAATAGGTCATTGCTTGGCGAGGCATTCACGTGGGAAGTGGGTTTCCCATCGGCGCAGATCTTGACAAGCCATAATGACAATGATTTCTCAAATTCGGACTGGAAATATCTTGGATGCACGTTTAGTCCAGAAGCCCTCTTGAATCGGAGAGGCTGAGCTTGCTGACGGCGGGTCGGCGCCGCCCGCAGCCCTCGCTGCTGTATCGTAAGCTCGTCTGGCGTTCTTGGCGGCAGCCAGTTTGTTGTGTCGGACACCACTGACCAGCATGCAGGATCAGGTTGCACGATCGGTGATCAGTGTTCCGCCAGGACTGGGTAGCTGATCGGTGTTCCGTCAGGACTGGGCAGCTGATCAGCGTTCCGCCGGGGCTGGGCAGCTGATCGGTGTTCCGTCAGGACTGGGCAGCTGATCGGTGTTCCGCCAGGACTGGGTAGCTGATCAGCGCAGGAATGGGTAGCTGACCAGTGTTCGGCCAGGGCCTGACCGCGCCGTCCGAGCGAACGCGCGCTTGACTGGTGTTTGGTTGACGGGCCAACTGTCGCTCAGGGGCTGATTTCACGCCGACAGGGGATCGACACGGAGCACGGGGGTACATATGACCATGCGCGCGCAGCCGAAGCATGCGCTGTGTGTCGTCCGGCCGCGCGATTGGCTGCAACATCTGGACTTAGCACGTGATTCGTCGAAACAGCTGATGAGCCGGCTGACCAATGGTCGTGGTCGCCAACCGAATATGTTTTCCAAAATTTAGCCCGGATCTTTTGATTGCGTGAACTTATGAGATCAAAGCCCATGATCTTCTGAGATCAGCGCGGCAAAGGAGCGCTTACCGCGTGAGCTCCGACCTCGCCATGCTATCATGGAATTCCTGGTCAACGGTATAATTTAGTGGGAAAAACTGAACCTGCCACAATGCTCGATACGGCCCGGTCAGCCCTCTCCCGTTAGCGCTACTGCTACCACCGGTCGCAGCCCATCGCGGTCAGAGGCAAGTAGCGAGAGCCTAAAGCGATTCAAATCGACCCCCATCACGTAAGGGTGAATCGGAGGGCATGCACTCCAATCAGCTGAGCTATCGGGCAAACGTAGCCGAGCGCCTGGCGACTGCCGCCTCGCTTTTGTACCACAGGCAAGGAACGGGACCCATGCGACCTCGTATCTCTCAAGTTCTGACCTTGTTCGCCTGCACCGCCGTACCGGAGTACACGATCTCTAATTTTCGCGCTCAAAGTTCGCTTAAAGCGCTATACACACTAATCCCTCGGTCTCCAAGCGACCACGTCTTAATGAGGAAGCCCTGGCCTGTAGTGATACCAGCATACAACGGTTATCACCCTGTCATCACCTTCTGTGAAAGCCGGCTCCACTCGCCAACGTCTGTTTTGCGTTGAACTGGATGCTCTGTGATCCAATCATCGTCTCTTAGCTTAAGTGGTCTCGTATCCGACACAGGCATGCCATGTGCCACGGTTTTGAACGCCGTTTATGGCTTGGCCGGGAGCACGCCTTGTGATCTGCAGCCGCCTGACGTCCGCACATGCGGCGTGGTGCACCGGTGCACGGCCGACGAGCCGGCGAGAGGCTGCATAATGGGCACCTGCTCACCAGTGCAGACCGCCGGCGCGATGCGACACCGGTACGCCACTCTCTCACAGCGTCCGGGTGGCTAGGCAACGTTTCCCAAGACCACTCTCCGCATCTCCCATCAGCTCGTGGCGATCAACAGCAGTTTGACATCGGCCCAGTCTCCGCGAGCACGCCGCCAGCACCCAGCTGTGCCGACCGTGGCGGGGGGGGGGGGGGGCAGCTGGAACTGGAGAGGCGTCTGCGGTCGGACCGCCCGCCTGCCGACGGTGCGTGGCCGGCGGCTGGGCTGGTGGCGGCGTTGATTTACACGCGGGGCCGCCGGCGCCGGCAAGCAGGTCGAGTGTGCAGCTGCGGGCCGCCGCCCGCGCCGGCGTCATTAACGCCAGCGAGGTGATCTATGCGTCTGCCCACCGCGACCGGAACACAATTAGTCGCAGTCTAGCAGGCGCGGACAACGGAATTGGGCGCCTCATGTTTGCAATGCTGGATTCGAGACAGCGGTATCATACACAGGATGTATTTCACGCGAGCGGCTGACGCTAACTGGTGGTTAGAGTACGAGGACTGGTGTGAGGCGACCAGTCGAGGCGTGGACAGGGGTGCCACGGTCCGCAAGGGCTGTGCGGGCCGGACGGCGAGTCAAGCACCCTGCTGAAGTGTCACTCCAGCGCCAGGTTACGCTCGCACCGATGGCATGCACCACTTTAGTGTCCTGTACCTCCTCGTGAGAACGCTTAAAAGACAAGGCTAATACCGCCTGAAGAGGCTCAGGCTCATATTTCTTAACATCATTTACCAAATCACTCTTTATGATTATTACTGTTCTGTACTATCAGCATTTTTTGGTCACGGAATACCAATAAGGCAAGCTTTACGTACCTGCCCGGCCAGCGGAGATAGACTACACCGGCCCCAGCCAGCGGAGATGGACCACACCTGCCGCCGGCCAACGGAGATGGATCAACACCGGTCCCCGGCCGGCGGGAGATGGACCACATCGGCTCCCAGCCAGCGGAGAGGGAACAGGGACCACACTCACCCAGGCCGATGGAGGAGGACCACGCCCGCCCCCTGGCCGGTGGAGATGGACCGCACCGGCTCCCGGCCAGCGGCCTTGGGCCACACCGGTCCCCAGCCAGCGGAGATGGGCCACACCGGCCCCCGGCCAGCGGAGATGGACCATGGACCACACCCACCCGGGCCGGTGGAGGAGGATCACGCCCGCCCCCGGCCAGCGGAGATGAACGACACCGGCTCCGGCCAAGGGAGGTGGACCCCATCTCCCCCGGCCAACGGAGGTGGATCACATCCATCCCAACCAGCGGAGGTGGACCACGATCAAACGTGGCCGACGCCCGTCGGCTCGTAAAAAGAGCCATTCATTGACCAGCGGGGATGGGGCCTGTGCGCGCGGCCGCTCGGCCCCTCAGAGAGGGTTTTGGGGACGCATGACTTACGAGACGGACCGAGGGCGGGGAAGGATTTATGCCTCCAGTCCCGGGAAGTTTCTAATTAACAGGAGTTCCACGCTCTGGAAATACATGGCGTCCGCTAGGAAGCGCATAAATCACCTGCGCAATCGGCGGTGCAAGCCATTTGCGACTGTGCACCGTGGAAGTATTGACCCTGCTGAAGCCTTTAATGGGTGTAACCGCTGGGTTCGGGGCGCGAACTGGCCATTTATTCTGTGGTTGAGAGCGCAGCTAGAGAACGATACACCACGTGTTAGCACATAAACTATCTCAGCTGCCCAATCTGGTCTTGTGTCTGCTTTTCACTATATTTTTGTTATCACTTGTAACGCTGGTCAGGTGCGTCCATCCATGAACTTTGTTCAGAACATCCCGAAAGTGCTGGCTGATCGCGTCACCGGTGATCGGTGACCACGAGATTCGAAACTGTCATCTGCGCATCGTTAGCCGATGATGTACGGGTCACTAACTCAGCAGGTAGCAAATCCGGCTGTACCGAGCTCAAGAGGGGCCATCAATTCAAAGCGTGGCTTACAGCCAAGCCATATGTTCTGTGTCCAGACTGTGGTCGGCCAACGAACCGCGTTCTATTCTGCACGCCCGTCAAGTGTTTTCTCTCATATGTTGGTATAGCAAAATGCCAGATGTCGGCTATGTTTCACGTTCAACGCTCTCTTAGTCATAGGCCAGTTTTCTCCAGAATATCCTGCGCAGCTATTCATCTTGGCAACCCGTCCTAGCAAATGAACTACTCAGCCGCCTGCCGCTTGAAAAGACAAGTGGCGCGCTGATTTGTATAAGACGTTTCTCCGGATGTGGCCGGCACTGACAGCGTCCGTTCTCCCTGTCCGCAGGCGGAGCGCCATCACGGACGGGAGGCTGCGATGCGCGGCGTTCCGTGCCGAAGTGATCAGTAGTGTTGTGTGTAGCGCGATATCGCCGGCGCAGTGCAACGCCTAGAATGCCGAACGACCCGTACCGCGAAACAGACTACCCGCTGCCGGACGCGACCCACCCGTGTCCGGGGCGGGGCTTTGACTTCGTGGCCATCCCACCCGAGTGCCCCCCGGCCGCGTCACGCGGCTTCTTTCAAACCATGGAACCGCCTCTACCGGTCCAGCAGCTTCGTCACCACCAGCATCCACATCAACAGCAGCAGCAGCAGCAGCAGCAGCAGCAACAGCAGCAACAGCAACAGCAACAAGCAACAGCAACAGCAACAGCACCACCACCACCACAACCCCCACCACCAGCAGCAGCAGCGGCAGCAGCAGCAGTTGCACCAACAGCAGCTGCTCCAGCATCAGCAGCGGCTGCAGGCCCAGTCCCCTAGCGGCAGCAGCAGTCCCAGCCGCCAGCCGCAGCAGCACGTCCCGTGCCACGGGCGCGCCGCCGCCACAGACCCCCGCCAATACGCGCCGAACAGCTCGTGCGGCAGCTCAGCGCCGGGCCGCGGCGGCAGGCCGTGGTGCCCGCAGCCGGCGGGCGCGGCCGAGGCGTACGCGGCCATGTACCGCGCCGCGCCGGCCGGCCCTGCAGTCGGACCCCGGCTGTCCGCAGTATCTGGCGACGGAGGGCGAGCGCCCCACCGGTCGCGCGCCACTGCCCAGGGGCAGCCGCGCCCGACCGCGGTCCGTCCCCCAGCCGGCCGGCTCGGCGGTGACGGCTACCTCGCGCAGGACGTGTTCGGCCGCGGTCCGTGCCCAGCCATCCAGCAGCCAGGCAGCCTCTTCCCTTGGATGAAGGCGCAGTTCGGTGAGTGCTATGCGCCAGCGGGAGCGGGGGTCACGAGCTTAACTGACGCACCAGCGGGGAGCGGGGGTCACGAGCTCAACTGATGCACCAGCGGGAGCGGGCGTCACGAACTCAACTGATGCACCAGCGGGAGCGGGGGTCACGAGCTCAACTGATGCACCAGCGGGAGCGGGCGTCACGAGCTCAACTGATGCACCAGCGGGAGCGGGCGTCACGAGCTTAACTGATGCACCAGCGGGAGCGGGGGGTCACGAGCTCAACTGATGCACCAGCGGGAGCGGGCGTCACGAGCTCAACTGATGCACCAGCGGGAGCGGGCGTCACGAGCTTAACTGATGCACCAGCGGGAGCGAGTGTCACGAGCTCAACTGATGCACCAGCGGGAGCGGGCGTCACGAGCTCAACTGATGCGCCAGCGGGAGCGGGGGTCACGAACTCAGTTGAGGAGTATCGTGAACGCGGTTCTGTGATGATCGTGAGATCTCACCAAATCCGGGGGTGCCACTGGCCACGCCGCGTGTGTCCTGAAATCATTTGAATGCAGAAAGAGAGCGACCGATCTCGATCACCCGCGCAACTCAGCAGAACAACGCCTCCTTCCTGTCCGCCCCGACGCCCTCGACGGTAGAGAATCGCGCCGCTCGTCCACGGGGGAGCCTAGCAGGCAGGGGAGGGCATCGCTGCGCCACTTTTACCTTCTTTTTCGTCTTGCCAGCACACGCCAACCATCACTCAGGTATTGCGCCTCATATCCGGAGGATTACACTTCAGCACAAACCACTTAACTGGTATACATTTGGCGTTTCGAAATTTTACGTCCCAGTCCGCATTTCATGACAGCTTGAGTGCTGGCACAAATCATGTGCTTCCTACTTTGATACGGGATCGGACGACTGGTCTAACTGCTCCACAATATCGATTTTGAAAATCAAATACATCACACACCCGGCTGGTGCGCCCCTCTGTCGACCCGCTGGCTGTGTGTGCGTGGTTTCAAGTGTGGAGGTGTCTATGTGCGGCCACGAGTGTGTTGCCACAAGTGCCGGAAACCGGTCTTGCACTATAAACTATTCGTGATGCTGAAATGGGCCACAGAAACTTCCCATTGAATTATTAATTTTTATGGAGGGTTTAAGGCATCAGGTCGCGATAAAACAAACTAAAATGGGCCTGTCGTAGGCGCCGTGTCGGTCCACGGTGAGCGCTGGTCGCGGCTACGCTGTGTCGGTCCACGCGCTGTGTAGGTCCACGGTGAGCGCTGGTCACGGCTACGCTGTGTCGGTCCACACGCTGTGTCGGTCCACCGTGAGCGCTGGTCGCGGCTACGCTGTGTCGGTCCACGCGCTGTGTAGGTCCACGGTGAGCGCTGGTCGCGGCTACGCTGTGTCGGTCCACGCGCTGTGTAAGTCCACGGTGAGCGCTGGTCGCAGCTGCGCCGCATCCACCGACTCTAGTCCTGGAGTGCCGGCCGGTCCAACAGAAACGTCGATTGAACCAGCCAAACGTCAGACTCGATCAACCAAAATCGAAATGTCGATGGCATTTGGGGCCAGCATGAGGTCATAAAATGGAGAGGCTGTTAAAAAGTTGTCTCAAAGACATTGCAATGCTGAATGCTGTTAAAAAATACGCTGCCAAGTCATGTTTCTTAGTAGCGGAAGCCAGCCATGCTTCTTACCAGCGGAAGCTAGCCATGCTTCTTAGCTGCGAAAGCTAGCCAGGCTTCTTACCAGCGGAAGCTAGCCATGTTTCTTTGCAGCGGAAGCTATCCATGTTTATAAGCAGCAAGCCTTCGACACGAGACTCCGAGCGCGCCTGGGCGCTCATTACGATACTAACGGCACCACAGGCACGCCGTTGGTTTTCAATAGGCTAATGACCATTTCAGACTAAAAAAAACAGTGTTAATATTGTACCCCGCAATTGCATGGCATGTTTCGTAAGCCCCCAACAAATAATAATGCTAATCGATATCCTTCATAGCCAGGCGAGCTACTGGTTACTCCATATGATTTATACACTGTGTCACCTCAACGCTGGTTGTACGTCATCGCCAGGCGGAGCTACTGGTTACTCCATATATTTATACACTGTGTCACGCTCAAAGCTGGTCAGACGTCATAGCCAGGCGGAGCTACTGGTTATTCCATATGATTTATACACTGTGTCACGCTCAACGCTGGTCAGACGTCATACCCAGGCGAAACTACTGGTTACTCCATATGATTTATACACTGTGTCACGCTCAACGCTGGCACCAGACGTCATAGCCAGGCGGAGCTACTGGTTACTCCATATGATTTATACACGTGTGTCACGCTCAACGCTGGTCAAGACGTCATAGCCAGGCGGAGGCTACTGGTTACTCCATATGATTTATAACACTGTGTCACGCTCAACGCTGGTCAGACGTCATAGCCAGCGGAGCTACTTGTTACTTCCATATGATTTATACACTGTGTCATGCTCACGCTGGTCAGACGTCATAGCCAGGCGGAACTACTGGTTACTCCATATGATTTATACACTGTGTCACGCTCAACGCTGGTCAGACGTCATAGCCAGGCGGAACTACTGGTTACTCCATATGATTATACACTGTGTCACGCTCAACGCTGGTCAGACGTCATAGCCAGGCGGAACTACTGGTTACTCCATATGATTTGTACACTGTGTCACGCTCAACGCTGGTCAGACGCCACGCTCAACACTGGTAAGACGCCATCGCCAGACAAATCGTCAGGTCACTGCTTCCTGGGCTATGACCTGTATATCATACATGCACTGGAGAGGTGCAGGAGGGATGGAACTTTGAAGCCAAACATTCTTTATTACTACGCTCTGGGTATCGTGTCCAGCCTCTGCGCCTTTGCCGTTGGCCGACGTTCGCCATGGTAGCTCCGCCAGCGCCAGTAATTGTCGCCGACGTCGCCAGCAAGACGTGCGCGGCTGTCCGGACGCTAAACACGGCTGAACGACGTGTTTAGCGCGCCACAAAGGTCGCTGTGGTGCCAGGCTTGATTTACGACTGCACCGGTTCAGCGTGTGTGTTCTGAAACCCGTCTAAATGACAGCGTTCGGCTAAGTCGCGACGGTTTAAGGGGAGGATGCAGTCGTGTCCAGTTGATCGAGCGTCAATAAGTTCAACTCTCGTAGGTTTGGCTGGCGACGTAGGTGATACACCCTTTGCTACTTTTGCTGCTCACCATCTGCAATTTCGCGATGTGAATGAGGCTGTAAAGATTTGAACGGCCCATCAAACACGCCGGCAAGGCGACATATGCGGTATCTCCCTGCCATCAATATAATGGGAAGAAATTCTCTCCACTTTATACCCATTGTATCGATTTCAAGTTAAAGAGATGTGTGAAACGCCCCCTTTCCCTCCCACCCAACAAGCGACGTTTTATTGTTTTTGCAGGCTTGGTAAACACTCAGCTATTCGTGGATCGTTTCGTATGCTCCAGTGCCCTCAGGGGATTCTGTGGCTCTTCGAAGACCATGCGATCCTAGTCGTACTTCAGTGGGCCTCTGTCTGGATAATGTAACATGTTATTTCCTCGCTTCGTCTCGAATCCTCGTATCGTCTTGTTCTACCCTGCGTACCTTTTTACAACGGTATGCGCGCTATTGCCCATATTTCGCACCACAGTGCACCGACAGTGACGGTTCGCAACGTTTTTTTTTTTCAGACAGGAAGCGTGGTCGGCAGACGTACACCCGGTACCAGACGCTGGAGCTGGAGAAGGAGTTCCACTTCAACCGCTACCTGACCCGCCGGCGTCGAATCGAGATCTCCCACCAGCTGTGCTTGACGGAGCGCCAAATAAAGATCTGGTTCCAGAATCGGCGCATGAAGTGGAAAAAGGAGCATAGGACGCTCGACACCACGGACGACAAGGCGGCGTCGGTGGAGGTGGCAGATGCGGAAAAATCTCCGGGTGGGGCGTAAATTATCAGCATTTCTGCGATTGCGGTGGTGAAATATTATTTGGCTACTGTGTAGGACAAGGCATGCTGGCGCGGGCTGGTGGTGCTTGCTGCTGGCCCAGTGATATTCGGCCGGTCGTTCATCGGAGCCGCGGATGATGCTGTGGAAACATTCGGTCCCGATCACCAGGTTACTGGCACCTCGGGGCCCGTCATCGCGTCATCAGGTGACGTCATCGGTTCGTCGGTGCTCGTTCGTGTTGTTATGAGATCGTCAGCTGTGGTGTCCAGCGCCGGGGGGTCAGGCAATACTGTGCCGCCTGCAGTCACCCATCGTGTGACATCATCTCCCCACCGACGGCTGGTGACGTCAGACGACCAGAGACGTCAGAGACAGACGTCAGGCTGGGCCCGACGCCGTGCGGCCTTACATCCGTCTGGACCGCTGGTGAGGCTGTCCAGCACGCTCGCCCAACTCACACCGATACTGGACATGACGTCTATGACGCCGGCTTACACAACACTCCTTGCACGCCACGTGGCAGAGGCTGTACACACCTACACCGGGTGGGGCGAAACGGAGAGCCAAAGCAATTTGGAGTCTTTTGTATTCGCACGGTGATGATATGTTTAAACCATTTGTATTTTATACGCAATTTAAAACGACATACAGCTTTCACCATCGGGTACGCTTGAGAACGGTTGATCTTCGCCCTCTTCGTTGGGAGGGAGATCATCTCGACCTGGTCTGACATGTTCGGACAGTAGGTGGCAGCGACCTCTCCCAGGGTCACTTCCATCCGTGCGTAGGACCTTACGCGAAAGGTTATGTATGCCGGTGCCGTGTGCATTTGTGCTTCGTCCAATTTGTACGGAAAAAACGTATCACGCAATACTGCATATGTGATTAGGAACGGAATACGTAACTGATTGTGTGGTATACCGATACGTAATACGTTTCCATACTAGCACCGTATTTTAGAACGCTTTCACTTGGTTGTTTGCTAGCCACTAAGGCCGTTTGTAGGAGGATGAGGTAGGTGGCTAGGCTCACTGCACTGTTGCAGTGTTCAACGCACTATAAGTGCATTCGTCTCACTGCAATTTTTGAATATAGGATATGCTTGTGATATACGAAAAGCGCTGGCCAATGCGCCCTTTCACACGAGGCCACCGTTGGATGCATTAGTTTCGGCAGGCGTCAAACGCCTTTGCTTTTTGTGATTTGAGTCTCTGCCGCTGCGCAGTGCAATGTAGCGTCGCTCGCTTGCTCTCCCAAAGATCGGCGCGCGCGGCGTCCTCCCTGCGGTGCCTAGCACGCGTTCTCTCGCGCTGCCTCGTGAGCCGGTCACGATCAGCGCCCCAGGCTGGCAGCTAGGTTGTTACTGTGGCGGGATGATCTCGGAGGCGAGGACGGCGACCACACCTATCGTGGCGGACTGCAGCGTGCGTGGAATCGGTGCGGTGCGGTGCGGTGCGGTGCGGTGCGGCGCCCGCTGGACGGTGGCGACGGGTTTGAGCAGTGCGTATCTGATGTGTGGCGTGGCGGGCTGGCATTGAACGGTGCTTGCTGTCAGGCGGGAGGCGGACGAGCCATCAGGGGCCGAAGACATCGGACTGTGACAATCGTGTACGTAACATTTAGTACAAGCAATAGCTACGACCTGTTGGCTTCCGACTCCGCGCCGGGCTATTTTCTGTTCGGCGATTTCCGCGCTGCACTCGCTCTGGGGTCACGCGGACCCCGTGACTCACCCCTGACGGGGTGTGGTTTAGCTGTGTTATCCGCGCCTACCTGACGTTTCAGAAATGGTATTTTCGTTCCTCGCCGCACAAAAACGCTCTCCGTTGTTGAAAAAATACTCTCCGTTGTTGGTTTCAATGCACGATCCATGAGAATTATGTCATCACGGCGTCGTTGTTTTCATTAATTTGTTTCACGATGTCTATGTAAATAGTGTTCATTTTAATCGATAAAACAAACTGAAATGTCTTTGTTTCGTTCGGCGTCGGTAAGCAACACAAACCGAGCAAACGGGTGAACGAAGCTATAAGCGACCCATCCATAGACTTCCGGGAGACGGGAACTGGTTTGCAGAAGGCGCATCCATAAATACATTTCCTGTGAAGGGGAAGGGTGGCTCGAAGGCGGGTAATCGAAGCGTAACAGAGAGGGGGGGGGGGGGGGGAGGGGAGAACGTCTTTGGGCAACGCAGTGGCGGGTTCAGTTGTAGTGGCAGATTATGCTATGATATTTTACAACATTTCCAAGCCCTAAAGATGGATACAATTGGCTTCCTCTTATGACGAGAAACGCGTCCGATTTTGTTCCGCACCTCCAACTCACTTAGGGGCCAAGTGGACGCCAAAGTGACGTGGACGTTACAATAAGAACAAGCGTAACCGGGAGAGGAAGCTTGTGCCCAAAGTAACTAGTGCTTAAGGAAGAAGGAGTTGCGTTGAAAAGTTGCCAAAATGCGTAGTGTGATGTGTGGACGGCTCTTTACGTATATGCTAGTTTCCCCAGGGAAGCAACGGTTCACGCCAGTACGGCAGACATCATTCCAAGATCCTAGCTCAGGCATCATTCCGGGATCCTAGCTCAGATATATTTCCAGGATCTTAGCTCAGGCATCATTCCAAGATCCTAGCCCAAGTTGTTCCGGTACGGGCATGTGTAGTGTGGTTGTTGTGTCTAACCGATCAGGGAATCTTGGGATTGGAGAGAAACACAGACACCACAGTGCATGTAAAGAGAAAACAAAAAACGGTGGGGCAGGAGAAGTGGAAAACGTGTGCAGCGTATTGATGAACCGACCTGAAAATGTCACTTATCCGTTCGTGCGTCATCACTGCTGAATGCATAGATAATGGCTGGACCAGTATTTCTGTCTCAACGCTACTTTTGAAATTTTCAACTTTCATACGATAGGTAGCGATCTTCTCGAAAAGTCACCGCGATTGGGGGCGTGTGCAGGAGCTCGCACTGGGCGTGGGAGGACACAGCCAGAATTTCTCACTGACATCCCAGCTTAGCGCGTTCCCAGCGTGCAAAACTTATTGCGTACATGAAACAACATGGCGTATCGCAGCTCTTCAGTTTCTGTTCGTTTTCGCGTCAACATTTAGTTGTTCAGACAGATTTATGCACTAGATTTATTAAGAGGAAGGTGACGTGCTCTTGGCGGCCATTGCGTGGATACGTCCCAGACTGCACATGGCCTAACGAAAGACCGGCGGAAACGCTTCTACATCCCGGATTGTAGCTAAGCAAAGTGCTATGCTTGGGGCCCAGCCTGTCTTGACGCACACCTCTGGGCATATTTATAGCTACCAAGCTTGCATGTCGCGATTGTAACCGAGAGAGCATAAGAGCAGTCACATGCAAACATACTCGTTGTTATGTTACCGCGGCCACCGTGTGAAGTATCTTCTCGCAGCAGGGGACCAGCCTGGGGGTTCTTGGTGTCCAAGCTATCTAACGTTGGCATGTTACCGCGGCCACCGTGTGAAGTATCTTCTCGCAGCAGGGGACCAGCCTGGGGGTTCTTGGTGTCCAAGCTATCTAACGTTGGCATGTTACCGCGGCCACCGTGTGAAGTATCTTCTCGCAGCGGGGGACCAGCCTGGGGGTTCTTGGTGTCCAAGCTATCTAACGTTGGCATGTTACCGCGGCCACCGTGTGAAGTATCTTCTCGCAGCAGGGGACCAGCCTGGGGGTTCTTGGTGTCCGAGCTATCTAACGTTGTTATGTTGCCGTGGCCCACCGCGTGAAGTATCATTTCGCAGCGGGGGACCAGCCTGGGGGTTCTTGGTGTCCGAGCTATCTAACGTTGTTATGTTACCGTGGCCCGCCGTGTGAAGTATCTTCTCGCAGCAGGGGACCAGCCTGGGGGTTCTTGGTGTCCAAGCTATCTAACGTTGGCATGCATCACGGGCCAAGCTGCATTATTCAAATCATGGTAGGACACTCAGATGACCTACACTGTCAGTGAGCCCAGTCATGAAACAAGCGAGCGTCTACGTAAGGCATTAGTCGTCGACTGGGCGGAGAACGGACCAGAGATGTTACGATACCGCAGGTTGATTAGCACAGGACGAGGCAACGTTCGGAGATGGCAAGCCAGGACCCGGGTGATCCCAAAGGTGAGGGCCAGATAACATCAGAGGACGAAGAGAAAGTCGCTACAAAAATAATAAGGAAGGGCAGCGGCGCTCATGAGACACTAAGAGCTCGCAGTCGGAGCAAGCGGAGAAGTGGAAGAGGCCTCGATTCGGCAACATTTACGTAAACTATCTCGGGTACTTGGAGAATTTGGTGACTGCCAAAAAGTCTTAGGTTCAAGAAAAGTCAACGTGCAAATATCAAGAAATGCATTTATACAGGACTGACATGACATCAAACGCTAAAATAACGCGGTCATTATTCGCCGCAGCAGCGAAGCAGGCGACATGGGAACTACTGCTATCATTGCTAGCCACTAGGTGGCAGCAAATTACAACTATTCGTGATGAGCTTGTGAACGTACCATCAATGCTTGCGTCGGCATCAAAAACGTACCCACGTGGAAGGGGGCAGGCGTGGGTGGAGGTGAGGGGGGGGGGGAGGGTGGAGATGACAGCCCGCTTTCTTAAATAGGATTTTCCCCCTCCCATTTTGCTCGTAGAACGGATATTTCTTAAAAGTTTTTTCATTCAAAATGTCGTTTTCTTGTCATGTGTCCCCCGAGCAATGGCGGTGCTTCCACTGAGACAGTTTAGACACAGCCTAACGAAATTTGAGAGCCCACTTCAGTATCTTTTTAAAACACTTCATAACCTTATAAAGTGATGAGGCTTCGTTTGTTGTAGGGAGTGACCCACCGTTGTACCGTTGTAGTACGGTCACAGATGAAGAGTATCTGGATTCAGTTTTCCGCAGTTCCGCTGCCGGCTGTTCAGATGGGTGGGCGAAACATGTAACACTCCTGACGTTGCCAACGAGGCCGGTCGTCGGTAGCGGAACGGTGTAGAGACGGTTACACAGATCCCCAGTTCGTGCGCCATAAGAACCACTGTGAGGCCAGCCCAGCTGATTTCTACACCTCTGTGCAGTTTGCTTACAACGAACCATTTGCAATGATGGAACTGCGGGCTGCTGTCAGCAGCGTTCGCAGTGTATCCAAAAGTTCTGGCGAGACACAAAACGCCATGACCCGATATCTACCCAGCTGTGCACTGTACGTTGTCCTAGCCATTTTTAATCGTCTTTGAGAGCGACGCAAACTTTCGAACACTTGGCGAGAAGCTGTTGCGATGCCCCTTTAAAACCAGAAAAGAGTGGCAAAGATCCCGTTTACTAAGGCCCATCTCTCTCACATTCTCACATTTCACCGTGAAGGCTGATGGAGAGGCTCGTCAATGTTTGTCCTTTCGTGTTTTTTTTCGAGACCCGTACCATTTTACTAAATTTCAGTGTGGTTTTAGGAGACACCTTAGCACGCTGGATTATCTTTTCACCTTGAATACTGCTGTTCGTGCTGCTTTAAAGCACGTGCCCGGGTGACCGGTTGGATACTCTTCGCTCGGGGGAATCTATTTGACCTACTGAGATATCACGAACTAAGAGAGCTAAATACATCAAATTCACAGAATGTGTCGCTCAAGATACAAACCCACTCAAGTCAAACTTTGAGGTCCGTAGGTTTGAGGTCCTTTGGGTCAAATAAGGTCAAACGAGGTCAAACTCCAGGCTGGTCTCCAAAGTGCCCCCAGGAACATAGATACATGCTCTAAGCAAACGGCCACATGCTCATTTAAGGTCAGTGACCTTGTTTGACCTTTTGGAGATCATGATGACCAAAATGAGACAAGACCGCGTGGTGCTTTGCGTTTGACTTTGCGAAAAAGATTACGCTTATCAATATGTTCCTTACACAAAGTCATTTTATGGTCATTTTATGTAAGTGATCTATCCATGCATTTAGGAAGTCCATAGAAGGTGTATAATGCGTTTTCTGTTATCAATAAATTCTAAATGAGCACCAGAAACTATCCCATACAGCAAGCCATAAAGCAATAAACTGGTTGATTTTGACCTTGGTCTGTCCATATCTGACCCTAGGTCAGCTGAATTCGTTCATCTAATTGTAATGTTGCCTAAAAAGGTATCTCAGAGATGTATGGCTTCCCCTAACACTTCGTTGTTACAGCAGAATGAATGATTACCTGGAACTTGAACTCGCTGAATCCATGGCCCGCCGCAGGTTGGCGACCTTACAACGTGTATCTAAATTTTTCACAGCAAACAATGCGTTATTCAATTATCTACAGCCATGCAAAATTGAGCGCGACTACTCCGCACCTTTCAAAAACCATTCCGGAAAACATACTCACTTGGCCTGGCCTGCTTGCCGTCACTCGCTACGCGGCCTCCTCGCCGCAGCCTGCGTACTCGCTACGCGGCCTCCTCGCCGCAGCCTGCGTCGGCTGCGCCTGGAACGGGGAGGGGCTGAGCGGAGCTACCGCCGGCCGGGAGCCCCGGAAGCCCGGCATTCGTCCGCGTCTCCAGTGCGTCTCTGTTCGCAACTCCACGGCGTCTCCGTCTGCGTCTCCAGGGCGCTAAGCAGGTCGCCGACACGACTGGCCCAGAGCGAAGGGTGCTGGGCCTGCATCATCGATTTGGTAGGGTTTAATGCGATTTCGCAAGTACTGCACATTGACGCTGTGAGGGTCCGTGAACACTGCACAAGACTAGCTATTCTACAAGATATGAAACTCTTAACTGTACCAACTCCATTCAACCGTCGCACGGTTGCCAGGGACTTGGGTCTGGGAAGTGGGAGTTCCTGCTGATCACCACGCCATCTCGGAATCTGACCTCACAATCAATCGCCGCGCAACTGGGCTTAAACGAGTTTTCATGATCTTAAGTATGTATTTATGGCTT